CGTAGAATTACTGTATTGGAAATACAACGGAACAAAAAATTTTAACATTCGACAACTATTTAATTTCTTAAAAAAATATCACGATGGCAGATCAACAACCTTGAAAAATTTATCGATGAAGTTGAAATTTGATGTGGCGAAAGAACTAATTTTGTTGAACTCGACATAGGGTTTTTTCCCCTTTCCAATTTGTTTATTATTTATTGTACTTTCAAATGCTCTTTTTCGTGAATTCTTTTCCTTAATTTTTTGCTTTATACAATGATTATACATCCTTTGTTAGTCTAAAGTAGTAAATTAAAGAAAAAAACTTACATGACCCGAAAAATGATACTCAAATACAGGAAAAATAACTATTTAAAAATAAACAGAGGGTTCAATACTTTTTAAGGTAATTTTTGGGTTAAGTTTTGAAAGTTTAAAATTACATTAACATTGTGCAAAAATTTCATTGACTCATGATATGAGCGTTATACTTCCGTATATAAAACCTAATCCACATTATACTCTTTTTAAATAAAATAGGCGTCTCAAACTGTCACGCAGTATCTACACTGTTCGGTGTCTACATCCAAAGACATGATATTCCAAGTCCTCATTGAAACGTTCTGCCGTCAGGAAAAAGGAAGATTCACCGAAACCATGGTAACGGGGAGGGGAAAAGCGGGGAGAGTAAGGAAATCGTGTAGCCTTGGGAGATGCCTATTAACTTTACAAAGAGTAAGGGTGGTGGCGCTAGTGGTAAAATTGCTCTTTCTAGACTTCCGGGTTACTGCTTCCGATATATTTTTACGCCGCAGATTGAAAAAACGCGCCATCATATTATTGCATATCTTTTGCAGTATTTCACATGTACCGAGTTCTTTCTTTCAGCCTTTAAACTTCAGCATTATCATATTAATATTATAATCATTAGAATATTTTCTAATTAGGCTAACTTAAAAAGATATTTTTGGCGACATTTTATTCAAATGTAGCCAAATAAGGGATAAAATACAAAACATGGCAAACCTTAAGAATTATTCACAATGAGATATTAACTTTCCAAAATTTTTTTTGGCCTTACGACCTCTGAGAATCAATACATTTCTGAAAGCTCTTATGAATGGTACAATTATGTTTAGATTTGAACCCAAATTACAATAACAAAACTGTATAGAATATTAGGCTTGTTCACACATCGCCTCGTAGTCATGACATAAGCGGAGGGATACACCGGATATTTTCTAAATTTCTTCCGTTTTAAGGACGCTTGTTATTGTTTACATTAGACCACCCATCCATAGTAGCTTTTATTGAGATGCTAATGACATTTTTTTGTTTCAAAAGTTGATTTGAAAAAGTACTTTTTATTTGCCAATACCAAGTGTATATTTCGTTCGGTAACTTACCAAGTTATCTTTAAAAATGTATTGTGACTTCAGATACATGTATATAAATATTTATATTATTAATATATTATGGTAGACAACGCAAAATTATCTTGTTTCTGCGAAATTAATACTAGTAATGAAACACTAGTGCTGTCATTTTTTTTTTGAAAACTTCTCTCTAAACTTTTTTTAATAGGACACTGGGTTAAGACAGAGTAACAATTCCCTAATTCTAATTCAATCTACACAATATCTAGGGTCAGGAAATAAACATTAAATATATATTTGTAAGACTCTGCCAAAACATTACAAACAACAGGTTCATCAGGGTTTTTTTATATTCACATATGATGGATTTCTAATGGTCAAAATCATTTTTCAAACAATTAAGGATTGATTTTACAACCACTTTAAATAGCAGCGAAAAATCTCCAGTTTTTAGCCACAGAAGAGTAGTCTGCAAATCTTTATTATTTTAACACATTAGCTGCAGATTAATTTTTTTAAAAAAGGTTTAAGAATTTATTACCCAACTTGTTTCCAATTGTGGGGAGTTTTCTTTCAAATTACAATTATTTACAACTATTATTTTGTCTTTGCAGTAAAACGTTTACGAATGTAACAAACTCTCCAAATTTTGAGGTTTACATAAATTATTTCAATTATATTTATTAATTGAAGTTTATAACAAAATATCCAGTCATAGTGAGCTAGAACAGGTATTTATAAACTAATAAAATATTTTAAAAACTTTTAACAGGACTAAAGTCTAATTGACCTTTTATGTAACTGTTAAAAGTTATGTGTAGTGCTGGAGAAAATTATTTTATTTCTGTATTACTAATATATTAATCGATCCTAAGAAAATATTTTCTTAAAATATGGAAATTCTTAAGTAGTTACAGGCTATGGTGTAGTATAATTTTTTTTTTCAAAGAGGGCACAAAATCCATTCAGATTTCTTCACATGAAAAAAATCTGAATGGAATTTTTCAAGTTGAGCCCGCTCTTGTGAATTAAGTTTGTAACTCATGCGTCAACTACAGGGTGCGTAGCCAAATTTTTCAACAAAAAATAAGCACCCTTTAAGCACTCAAAAAATATTTTTAAGCACTTTGAAAAAATATCATAATTGACAGGGTTGGCAAGTTTTTGACAAATGATGGTTTTATTTGCTTGCCAATGACGAAAACGATGGCGTGTTACCAACGATAAAATTAACAAGAGAAATGAAATTTTCTATCGTTGATAGAGAAAAAAAAATTGACCAAGTTTAGTTGGTCCCCGTAATCCGCATAAATTCGAGAGATTTTTCGATTCTATTACAGAGGGCGGGAAATGAAGTCTGAAATTGAGAATCTCTTGCAAAATACAGCAGAGTTGCGCACGAGAGACAAAAATCATTACCACTGAATCCAGCGAAGTATACGCAAGTTTTTCATTAAAGATGTAAAACAAATGGTGTTTTCCTACACTACAAACCAACGGTACGCCGAAATAGATTAGGGTTTAATTAATTGTGAAAACGTTGAATAGGACAATGTCCTTTTGCATAATTTGTGGCGAAAAATCAACATGGTAAAGAAAAATATCACATTTCGGAAAGGGGAAAATTAAGCACTTTTTAAAAACACCCAATAAAAAAAAAGCACCCAGGGGTAATTGTGAGCCCAAGTCAAAATTCCGGAAAATTTCTTGAGTTAAAAAAAAAGTTTAAATTGAAAAATTAGAAGTAGAGTATTTGTGATTANAATAAAAACTATTCACTGATAAAAAATTAATATTAATCATGAATATAAGCTTATAAAGTATCTCTCTGGCTCTCCCTTACAAACAAATAAAATAAACTGTTTTTTTAAGTTCCACCTTTGAAAATTTGATTTCCTGAAACTTCTGTGATCGACGATTTTTTGAAACGTCTGGACCTTCGATCTCCGGAAACTTCCGGATCACTGTTAGCGAAAAGTCCGGAAATCCGGACTTTTTCCGGAGCACAATCAGTCCTGAGCATCTTTAAGGGCTTTTTAAAAAACGAAAATAAGCACCTTTAAGCACTTTTTAAAAACGCTATGCAGCCTGTTTCTAGATTTAAATATGTGATGATATGTGTTTAAAAAATAATAACAAATACAGACAAATTGTACCAACAATTTATTTATAATTAGGGAAAAAGATGCAAAATAATGTACTAAATCTTGCAAGATTAAAAAAAAAAAAATGATGATAGTTATATGCAATGCCAAAAACAGGCAGTACAAACATTCAGTTAACCCTCAGTTTCACTTCTATGCTCTTAATATATATATGTATATATATAAAAGAAACTTCTTAATACCATTTTGAGTATCAGAATAAATTATTTTTTGTCATTTCTTTTTACATCAGGACTTATTCTAATTTAAGTATTTAATACGAGAAAACACTCATTAAGGGATTGCTGCACACACCTTGATACACTGAAGACAGTTGCGCGGAGTGCAGACAGAATTAGCGCAATTAAGCAACTGGTGAAGTTGACTCAGTAGAGAAAGAGGGTAACAGTAATATTCAGCCGTGCCTGGCAGCATAAAATGTCCTAACAAAATTCAACACATCCTAGACTTAGTTTCTATACATTACAAAAACAGCAAATTCTGTTTCCGTTGAAGAACCAGGGTCACACATCACAAAACTTTTTTTTATTTGTTTCATAGTATGGGTATCGAAAACTTCCCAAGTCCACTAAATAATAACCCCTGAATATTAATCAAACCATATAAATAGCAATTGATATGATTGACAGACAACAACAACAACAAACAAACAAAAAGAAAAAGACATTTAAATTGAAGTAGCATTAAATTAAATCACAACAATTTTATGTATATCACAGACAGTAACTTTTGCCGAGTAGCACCTGATTTTAAGTCATCTACTTTACCAAATTATACACAAATATTTGAACGAAATAAACAAAATATCCAGTATAAATTGCTTAAATAGGAAAAGCGCAGGTACGGAGAAATCGACACATCGCAAGAGGTTCGTTGTTGAGATTAAATACGGCATGGAGTAAAAAAAATTATGAAAAAATCTATTAACAAGCAGTTTATGAATATCTCACAACTACAAACAATTTAATGTATCATTTGTTTGAACCTAACATATATTTCACAGGCATTTAAAATTTTATAGCACAAAACAAATGAAACAATATGAGTATTATTTATGCTCCATATGGTCTATGAATCTCGCTAAGTTTTAATAAATCATTTATGATTAGAAGCTCAAAATATTAGATGGAAATGTTTTAAGTATTTGTCTTGTAATGAAAAATGGTAACGAAAATTTTAATTATTGAATTTAATTAGTAATCACAAACAATTTAATATATTATTTGTTTAAACCAAACATACTTTATATACCATTCAAAACAATAAAAAAATAATAAATAAAATAATACAGCGTAAAAAATTTTTTTTAGACAAAACGAGCATTATTTATGCTCTGTGAATCTTGGTTATTTTCAATAAATCAATTCTAATCACAAAAATATTAGTATTCGTCACAGTCAGAAAAATGTTAAGTATTCAGTACAAAAGCAAAATTCTTATGAAATGTTTGTCTTAAATGTTTTTGTTCCGTCTACTTATTATATAGTAATTGTTACCATAATAAAGAAAAAAATACAGTGGAATACAAATGAAAACCCACCATGAATAACTTTTAACCGACAGATCAGATTTTCACCAACTATCAGTTATAATCTCCATTTAATATGACAATAAAATTTTTGGAAAACGATAATAGGAGAATGGACTGAATTTTGAAAAGGCTGGAACTGATGACCCAAAACAATTTCTAGGATACAAAGAAAATTAACTTCACATTTAAAAGTTATAATTAATAAAAAAAATGATAATAAAGCATAATTAATCAAATAAAGCATAATAATCAAACTTATTCACTCATGTGACTTTAACTAATTAATTTTAGAGGCAAAGCAAGAGTGTCACATTTTCATAATACAAATAATAACCAGCTCTGAGTAACTTTTAACAGACAGATCAAATTTTCACCAACTTGCATATTTTATAAGGTATTTTATTACTCTAAAGTATTAGAAACTAGAGGTATTTTAATGTCGTTAGAAATATATTATAATAGCTAGAAAAAAATTATTTGAATGCTCTTTGAACAAAAAAATTTTTAATTTAGTGGATAAAAGGGTAATTAACTACTATTTAAATCTTAAGTCTCTCTCTCTCTTTTTTTTAAATCTTAATTTTGCAGACATGTTCTGTTAGATTTTTAAGCAGTAAAATATTTTAACAATTGATAAGATTCCTATGAAAAAAAAAAAAAAAACAATTAATTAGTTTTTATATTTGAAACTTTTCTTTTTAACATTTTTTAATGCTACTAATAAATAAGAAAGTCACTGACAATAAAAAAAAATTTAAAACAATGCGCTTAAATATTATATTCAACTGGTTGGTTTACATTTACACACAGTTGAGAATTAAAAAAAAAAAAACACTATTTTCCCAAATACCATTTGCTATATTATAGTTACATTTATATAAATTTAATTGATAGTAGAATATAGTAAGTTAATGAATATATATTAAATTAAAGAACACAAATGCCAAAATGTATCAAGTGGTTCAAAAGCATACCATTACTACTGTAACATTTATCAAATTAACACATCAAACATAATAAGGATAAAAACTTAATAAATCAAACTTAGAAATAATGATTAATCACTGAAATTCTAAGACTATTAGATTGACAAGAAAAGGTATGTTAAACATAAATGAATGGAAATTTTAGTTTTTCAAAAACAAAATATCCTTTTGAGGTAAATCAATAATTCAAGCATAATTAGTCAATGAAATTTAACCTAAATTCTTATATTTAAACATGTAAATGCTTGGGAAGGGTTTTTGTGAGACATTTTAAGAATTCTTAGATCATAAATAAACTGTTACATGATGTGGTAAATCGAACATAAGAAATTGTTTACAATTTTATTATTTTACTGTTTTTGGAAGCACTTATACTATTAAAGCAACACAAAATTTTAGAAATATCAAACATTTTTGAAGTTTAATAGGTGGCAAATCAAACATGGAAATTTTAAAGAGCTGAAATTAAAATTATATTAATAAGAAAAAGTTATTTCAAATACATAAATGACTGGAAATTGCTTTTGAGACATTTTAGCATTTAGAGATGACTAAGGCGGCCACAACCAATCAGAAAGAGAAAAAAAATCTATACTTCTTTAAAACTAAATTTCCTAACTGATAACATAAAACTTCATTATTGATTTTTCAGTTCTGACTTATAGTGAACATAAAATATGATAAAAAAAAAACGCTTTTACTAGTCATTGAGAATAAATATTTTCCTACAATTTAGTGAATAATAAGCTTTTTTTTTGTTTTAAATTTATTTGCTACTATTTATGATATATTATAGGTATGATTAACTGGTGAATATTTATTAATGTGAGAATATTTATTAGAGAATATACTAGTAGCTCTCTGTGAGAACAATATTTGTAACAAGTTAAAATGTTTATAATGAAATTGTATTTTCTTAATTTTAGAGACCAATATTTTTGATAGTGCAACATTTTTTATTAAATGTTTTTAACTTAAAAATATTTTAAAATTGATAATAAATATGGATGCATTAATGTGACTATTTATTAAAGAAAATTGAACCAGTATAAAAAATAAATAAAAAATTCTATTTGAAAAAATATTTTTAGGAAAGATATGTTTTAAGAACCACAAACCCGAATTAGGCTATTTTTCTCTTAAAATTAATTCCTTTATTCAAATAAAATACATTATTAATGAGTTTCTTATTCTGCGGCCACCTTGTTTTAGTTACATTGTTGCGCATAATAAATTAAATTAAATAAATTATTATAATAGATAAATATTATACTTCTTTACTATGTTATTGATTTGGGAAGGAGTTAGCTAATTAAACAGCATTACTTAAAAGTTTCTTTGCATTAAACATCTATAGAAATAACAGGCGACATATAAGTAATAAATATAAATGCTAAACACTCAACTGTTTTGTTCAAATCAGATGCATGAATAAAGCTTTCCATTCAAAAAATATAATGTTCTAATAAACATTAACTAAAAACATCAACATACATATGATTCCAACTCAAAAAACAATTCTGCACATTTTTCTTCAATTTTCATCAACCAAATTATTCACGAACACACACATCTAAATTACACATTTAAAAAAAGTCATACAAAAATAGAATGGGGGAAAAAAAGGACTACTTGAGCAACAAAAATTCATAATGCTCTATAAAATTTATAATACATTATCAATTTTACATGAGTATCATTGTTATTTTTTTTTTATACAAAAAAAGTAAGGACTTGGTATTATTTAGTTTGAAAAAAAGTAACCTCGTTTTAAGGACAATTAAAAAATTTTGGACCAAAACCTGGCATTGATGTTTATCAATGCACACATGGTGACCCTGGTTACTTCAACTGCAGTTTATTGAATTCCTAAAAAAGAACCCACCTCCTCATTCGGGTGGAGGGGGTGGTGGTTGAGGTGGTAGTGGAGGCGGCAATGGAGGATTATTAGAGTTCGTTTTACCAGATGACATATTATAATTTTTCATTTTGGGAGGTTTTGGAGGAGGAGAGAAATTGTATACGTAGCTTTGAGAATAAGACTGAGCATTATTGCCATTGGCAGGATGTTGTTGCATGCCACCCTCATTCACCGAATGTTCATTCACACTTTTATGAGAACTGTGTCGGGAGGATTTGCTCGATTTCCCAGAGGCACTACCATGGTGACTTTTCTGAGAATGATCTAGCTTCTGGTGCTTCGAAGCATTACTATTACCGTCGGTAACCGAATTGCTATGTACACGTTTCCGACTACTCCCTTTGTCGTGATCACTTTTGGGAGTGGTGATGTATTGCCCAGTGCCAGATTTGTCTTTGGCAATTATTATCTTTGGTAAAGCTGGCGGTTCTGGGTGCTTAATTTTTATCTTTTTTCTCGGAATGTCTTGCCTAGAGGTTTCATATTTTTGGCTGGATTCGGGCTCTACACCAGTTAGACTAACGAAATTTTTCATTATTTTCACTTTGATTGAAGCAGGTGCGCTTTCTACGTGGTTTGCGTTTTGTTTCTCGTGTTTCGTTTTAGACGAGTGACCAGAGTGCTTTTTGCGCTTTTCTTTGTGTTCCTTTTTAACAATGTCACCCGTAGCAGAACTAGTACTTGCTTTGTGGCTTTGCTGACTAACAGGTGCAACAACAGTAGAAACACCAGGCAACATATTTGTTTGCTCTATTCTGGCTGCATCAACTTTTTGTTGTTTGGCCAGATCAGTTTTTTCCCGTTTTACTACGACCTCAGCCTGTTCTTGGTTATCTTTATCTTGTTTAATTTCCATTTTTTCCCTTTTGATATCTACCTTTTCTTGTGTCATTACACTCGACCTATCGATTTTTTCGTGCCTCACGGTATCTACTTTTTCGAGTCTCGAAGATTCTATTCTTTCGTGCCTACTATGATCCGGTTTTTCTAGTTTAACAGGTTCTGTTTTTTCTATTTTTAAAAGTTCTACTTTTTCTTGTTTAGTAATGGGTTCTATTTTTTCTTGTCTAGTGCTTTCTACCCTCTCCGGTCTTACAGGCTCAATTCTCTCCTGTTTTATCACTTCTGGTCTTTCCTGTTTCACATAATCTAATCTTTCTGGTTTGTTATAGTCTAACCTCTCAGGCTTATTAGAATATAGTTTTTCCGGTTTGCTTACTTCAGTCTTTTCAATTTGGACAGGGACATCAGCTATTTTTTCTTGCTTGATCACAGGTTCGTGTGTTTGATGAGGAATTTTAAGGGGGTGACTGGAACTGGATCTATCTTTGTGATGAGATCCATCGGAATTAAGTTTAGTCAATTGATGGTTGAGTTTGTTCACAGAGGTAGAGCGATCTAAGGCTTCTTCCTTAACTGCAGGAATTTTAACCCTTTCTTTGTTACTAGATACGATAGGCGATTCTAGATGTTTAGAAGTCCGGTGTGGTAATTTCTCTGATTCGTGGAAGGCATGCTGTGGTTTTTTAACTTGTGTATGTATATTCGGTGAATCAACAGATTGTTGAACAGGTTGAACCATTGTAACAGGCACCTTGTTTTGAAGTCTTTCTTTCTCCCGCTTTTCACGATATACATCCAAAGATATGGAATGTGGAGTTTCAGCCTTCACTGGTCTCTTAGGATGAGAAGGTAAGGATGATGATGTGGATTGACCAGAAGTTGAAGGTTTTGCTGATGGTTGTACAGAAGATGAAGATCTAACAGGACTTTTCTCTCTTGCTCTCTCCTCAAAGTCTGAAAAACTAAAGGTGGCAGAAGATGATGATCCGGGTAATGAGATATCTTGCTTAGCACCTTCTGTCTTGCTCGTTGAGGGTTCATCAATCATACTTCGAGGATTTTGGTAATTCATATCCTTAAAAAAAAAAGAAAGAAGTTATTACTATTAGAAAATTTTATTCATTACATTGTAGTATTTTTATAATCACCATAACAAGTCTTTTAGATTAAGCAATTTGTAAAAACTACTAAAAGAAATAAAATATCTTTGTGTAATCCAGTGTCTTCAACACTGTGGCAGAATTTCTTCGGGCTTTCTGTGACATGCCTCTGAAGTATCTTTCTGCAAGATACTTTTTAAAAAAATATTCATGTTATTAATTTAAACAGGGGTCTGTCTAGGTTTTTCTGACAGGTACCTATTCTGTGAAAATTTAGACGTAATTTGTGAAAAATTAAAAATTATATTAAAAAATCAACACAAANTAATCCAGTGTCTTCAACACTGTGGCAGAATTTCTTCGGGCTTTCTGTGACATGCCTCTGAAGTAACTTTCTGCAAGATACTTTAAAAAAAAAAAATTTATGTTGTTAATTTAAAGTAAGAGAAATATCAACTTAAAAAAAGAATGGTTAAAATAAAATAATATAACTTTTTTAATAGAATATGTAATCAAATAATTCTCGTTTTCGAAAGGGGAAAACACACTAATAATTTCTTTTTTCGCATTTTGTAAATCATCACAACATTATAAAAAATAATAAAAAAAAACAAGAAATCCTGAAGCAGTAACTACTAAAAAAAGATCGAAGGCAAAATCACGTGAATTGGATTTTTCTAAAAGGGGTTACTAAATGCGTGTTTTCATTTCAAGATTCAGTTGTGGTAATAAAAAATATCAAATGAAAGATATAGGATTTTAAAAACTATGTGAAAATCAATAGTAATTACTAAATAAATAAATCTTTCTGCAAGAAATTGGTAACGTTCTGCGACCATATCGCCATGATTCTGCCACGGAATAAGTATAATAGCTGTGAAGGAGGGCTCTCAAGTGAAATATAGATTCGGAGCAAAAAAAATAAAAAATAACATTAATTACATTTAAAGGACAGGGTGAAAATATATATTTAACAGTTATTGATCAATTGCAAGAAATTTTTCTTTTAAATAAATGTTTATGGACGAGTTAGATACGGCCAATATATATGTAGCTAGTTCATAAAAAGTATTTACTTTTAAACATTGTATAGTATATTGTTTAAATCTGTTGTTAAATAACACATTAATCAAAGTGTTATCACAACTTTAACATCGCAATATTACAGATTTGTTTGGGAGGTTCTAAAAATATTTTGCAATAAAATCTGCTTTTTTGTAGCCAAAAATTCTAACATGACTAATGAAGTAAGAAACATTTTGTAATCACAGTTACAAAGATTCACAAATGTTTTAAAATTGATAAGATAGAATATGTTTGGCAGATTAAGGTATGAAGATTTACAAGGTAATTTTGCTAAATAATATACTAAAAATATGGCTTTACATTCTTGTATAAAAACAGAACTTAGCAGGTGAAGTTTCTTTGACAAATTAAAATTCTTATGCATACAAATGATGCAGCAGGGTCAATTCATTTAAAACCACCAACAAAAGTTTAGAATCATCATTTTCATTACAAGTTTAAAAAAGAAAAGATAAATAACAGGGACAGTTTGATGCTTATAGATTGATGGCCAAAGGCGATATTATCTCTGTTGTTGTCAGTACTTTAAAGTCATCCAAATGTAAAAGGGCTAAGAGTTTTTTCTGACACAGCCATTAAGCCAGTACACTGCGATTAAAGAGAGTTTCATATGATGGACTTTAAGTTTTTTATGAAATGTTTGGTTTGTGTCATATTTTATGTAAAAGTAGTAATGTAAGTTTTTCCTGCTTTTTTAGAAAGTCTCTTGACATACAAGCTTTTTATAGAAGAAGTTTGAAATGCTCCTGTTTTGATCCCGAGGTCGTCATCCTAAATTGTATTAAAATGTCTCACAACTGATTTGTGTGAAGATTGCAGCTATTCTAATTTCAGTCTAACAATTTATGAACATGATTTCATTAAAACTATAACAGACTTGTATTATTAGAATAAAGGAAACATACATGATATGTTACTAATACATAGCGAAAGTAACAAACAATATAATCATAGCTGCCAACATGGATAGGAAAAATTCCAGTAGATTTTACGAAATAATATAAATTTCATGATAATTGTTGCATAATGTACTAAATATTTTAAACATAGAGATTTTTATAATCATCAAAATAGAAAAACTGCAATATTTTCCAGTTATGATTGACATTAAACATACTTGAAATGTTATGTATTATGTTTACTCATAATTCAGAATATTAAAATAGGCATATAATTATTTATCAAAGAAAAATAAGTTTTATCAATTTAAAAAGAGAGCCTTGGATAAAAATAAAATGAACATTAATTTATAAATCAGTTCAAAAAAAAGTTTTGAAAAGATTTAAATAATTTAGAGAGGCTGATTTCTATATGAGGTTCGCTTCATTTATTAAAAATACTTATTTAAATATTTAAGCAATAATCTGTACGAAAATTATATTTCAATAGATTTTTTTAGGAAACCTACTCAATTTTTGGGAATTTTCAAAAATGTACAAAAACCAGGAGAAACTGGCCATATCCAGAAGTCTACTGGAAAAGTTGGCAGCTATGATATAATTATTAAACTCATGCTAATAATTAACACTTTTATCTTTTTCATATTTTTCAAATTATTAATTTGATCAATTAAGTTTTCTCATTAAACATGGTAAATAAATAAAATACCTTTTGTCCAAACTTTTTCTTAAACCTGTGTGGACTTGCTTCCATTATTTCGAGGAATTTTTCTGTAAGCTCTGTAAAGAAGTAAAAATAAAAAATCCTGATTAAGCAAGAAAATACAAATATTGTAGAAAACATTTTAAAAATATACAGCAAGCCTATATTTATTTTCAGAAATGGCGAAAATTTTAGGAATAGAAAAAAAGCTATAATGCCATGGACAAATAGGTATTTAGAGTTGGTCAGTGTATTACTGCACTTAAAGAGATATATTAAAATTGAGATATATCAAAAGAAACAACAAATTAAAAATATATATATATATATATACCTTCCAGTTTTTCAGTTGTTACACTTCGATCAATATAATAAAACCAGTCTCTCCCTTCTGAGCACGGCTCAATCTAGAAAATTTAAACAGATTTAATCTTTGAAGATTTCATCATAAGTCAACAAAAATACTACAGGATGTGTCCTCGAATCTTTCAATAAAAAATAAGAACCTTTTAAGTACTTTTTAAGTACTCAAAAAATTTTTTAAGAACTATATACATTAAAAAAATGCGAAATAATTTTCAAAGGCATTACATGATCATGATAAAATAACTAGTTTCTGACAATGAACACTTTTCTTGATTATATTAGCCATTGTGGGGTATTAATCTTAGACTATGACAACCTTCATCTATCAAAAGGTACCTCAAGGTAGAATCAAGTTAACATGTCTTATATACTAGTGAATTTGTATTAAATATTTGTAGTGGTAGTTACGCCACACCACCATAAAAAGATCAAGATAGTTTTCAGTTCGATTTCAGAGGGTGGAAAATGAAGCCTGAAATTGAGAATGTCTTGCAAAATGTAGCAAAATTGCACATAAGAATGTCAGAATCTTACCAAACTTAACTCAGTAGACATGCATGCGGACTCGCAAGTATTTTATCAAACATGTACAATGATTTGCGCTTTTATACGCTATGGACCAACGGTAGGTCGGAATGGATTGTGGTTGAATGAATTGTGAAAACTTTGAATAGAACAATGTGAAAAACACGCTTTTGCATAATATGTGGCGAAAATCAACATGGTAAAGAAAAAAAAGAACTTTAAAGGCTTTAAAAAACACTATGCTTCATGTACAATTAAGAAAATGTGTTCCATTCAAATATAAAAATGATAATTTATAGACATTTTAAAATATACATCAAAACTACTATTAAATGAATGCTATATGTTTTTCACTTTCAAAAATGAATTCTTTGTTTCAGGAGTGAAAAAATTTGAATATATTGTCATTGTTCTGAACTGTATTGAATTTAAAAATATTTAGTCAGATAAACTTTACAGTTTTTCACAAGCATAATAAACTGTTTTTAAATATTTTTTGGGGGGAAGGGGACGAATAAATGAGTTTCAGCTTATAAAAAATCATCCATAGAGAATATTTTTATATAAATTTTTTAATATTTTTAAATGTATTTCCTTAGAATTTGTCATTTTATGTCAATTTTAACTCTTATCCATAAGGTTTTGATGCTTTCAAAGTAAATTTATGCACATAAATGGTGACCTTAGTAGTCTTTTGAAAAGAACTGCATTAATGTTTTAAAACAAATTTTGGAATGTGAATAAAAAATTTTACACATGACTTACTTGACTTTTTTTTTTCTATCAAAATAATTTTAATTTCAAGATTTTTTCACATTAAGTCAGTTTGGGATGTTTGCTAAACACTTTTGCTTTCAAATCTGTCTTTTATACATTATACATATATGTGTGTATGTTAATATTACTTTAAATATATTAAAAAGACTTTTTCTTATCAACTTCAACAGGACTGTATATTCTTTAAAAATAAATATTGATGTTTACATAATGCTTGTGTTTTAAAACTGTTCCCATTTACTTTCTGAAGTTGTCTACGTGTCAAAAAAGTCTATGAACATCAAATGATTATTAGGTTCTGGAGTGAGTCTTAAAAATGATAAGAAATTTATTTTATCAATCATTTATCCAGTGAGTGTTTAATAAAAACAAGAACAGTTTGTACCATCACTTATGTAACTATTCAGTATAATTTTGAAAAGAAATTCAGTATAATTTTGACATTAATATGCAAGATACTTGTAAAATTGTGGTAAAAATATGGTAGACAAAACTACCAGATTTAATAACACATTATATTGGCATTTTATGAATAATGTCTAAAATTACTAACAAACTAAACAGAGTTTGCATTAGGGAATATTATTACCAGGGTTGCCACAGAAAAAAATGAACAAAATAACTAAATAGCAAAATAGCTAAAGCATGAAAATAGTTGCGTAAATAAGAACAAACTTTTTTTAATAATATGACTAAAATTTTATTAAATGACTTAATTTTCATATACTCTTTTAGTCAAGATATGTGGCGAATCATAAATTTTTTTTAAATAAACGTTAGTGCTCTAGCACTAAATTTTTATAAAAAAAAAATTTTTATAACTTGCAGAAAATTAAATACACTTTTAATTTCTAGAATTCATTCAAAAAAATACTTTTACATTAAAAAAACGACTTTCTTTTCTAAGAATTTTTTCCCTTTTATCAATAATTGATTTAGCAAATACAGTGGGTGATCGGTTTACGAACAGATCGGTTAACGAACAAATCGGTTAACGAACACTTTCACGAAAGATTTTTGTGTTCGGTTAACGAACGCATATTCGGATAACGAACACTTTCAAGAAAGTTTTTTTTTTGTTCGGACAACGAACACATATTCGGATAATGAACAAAACGAATTCGAACGAACACTTCTCGGCCTGAAAAAAAAGTACTATTAAACGTTTGTTATCATTTTGCATACAAAATAAGATCACTGAAAAGAGAAATGTTTAAAGCATGCTTAGTATTGATAATTACTAAATGAAACTTGAATTAATAATGAATTTAAATTTAAAGGTCATTCAATAATTATAATTATAAAGCTTAAAAGACTTCTCGTTTATCACTCTGAGAATCCCAGAGCATTCAAAAAAAATTCCATAATTAAGAAGAAACTGCAGTAACGTGGAGATCGAATCAGAGGCCATGGGCCACGCAGCATCTTTTCAAAGAATGGTTATTTGAAGTTTGTGCCCCGAGCATCAAGAACTACCTTGATACCAATGACTTGCCGTTGAAAGCACTGCTGCTATTGGACAATGCACCAGGACATCCAAAGGATCTTGAAGATAATTTGTTGACAGACTTTCCCTGGCTGACAGTTCAGTTTTTACCTCCGAATACGACTTCGCTGATTCAGCCGATGGATCAGGAAGTTATTGCGGCTTTCAAGAAATTGTACACTCGCGCGCTGTTTCGTCGGTGTTTTGAAGCAAGCCAATTCTCCTCAACAATGACTTCAAAAAAGTTTAGGAAAGAAAAATTTGACATTCTTGAAGCTATTCGTATCATTCAAAAGGCGTGGTCAGAAGTCACACAGCGACAGTTGATTTCTGCTTGGCGGAAGCTGTGTCCATCCTTTGTTCAAGGTGACGGAGGTGATCAGGGAGACACCCCTGAAATTATGGATGAAATTTTGACAACTGCTAGAGATCTGGAATTGGAGGTGAACGAGGATGACATAGAAGAGCTCATAATGGGACATGTAGATTAACTGACGACAGAAGAACTCCAAGAAATTTTGAATGAAGAACACCAAGAAACACAGCGAAATGTGTCTCCTTCTGAACAAAAGGAAGACGAAAGAGGATACCAATGCCGACATCTGCCGTTAAAGATCTTTTGAAAAAGTGGGAGGATGTCAGAGCAATGGTCTTAGAATGGCACCCAAACTAAGCTGATGTCAGTAGGGTTGGGGATTTTTACAACGACAATGCTATTAATTACTTCCGGAAAATCCTGAAAGAGAGAGAAAAGCAATCGACATTGGACATGTTCTTCAACGCCCCATAAGCAAAAAATGAAAAGGACTGATTAATATGCAAGACTATATGTATGTATTATTTTTTAAAAAACTTAATAAGAAATTATACATTTTTTTAAATTTAATTTTTAGGGTCTCCAGAACGAATTAATCGATTTCACATAGAAGTCTATGGTGAATCGATGATCGGTTAACGAACAATTCGGATAGCGAACATAGTCTTGGAACGGATTATGTTCGTTAACCGATCACCCACTGTATATATATATATAAATATAGTGAAAAGTGATAACTCAAATTTGAAATTCATGCACTGTAAATATAATAATAAAAATTGGGTTTTTAAAAATCATGCAGAATTTCATAGCAATAATCGTTGAAATGGAGATCGAGAAACGAAATATAGACTTACAATTAAATCTGAGCAAAATGAGCGCATTAAAAAGTGATGACTCAAATTTGCAATTCAAAATTTTTACAATACTTAATTTTTTTTCCCCTGCGGGCAGTAGGTTGTCAACCCAATTTATGCCAAAAAAAATATCCCTAAAAGTACCGAAAAGTCTCCAAATTGTCTCTTTTTCCTGAAAATAGTCTATTTTTAGCCTTTTCATGAAAAAAAGTAGCTGTGGTCCCCTCAGGCCGAAAATAGTTGCAAATAACCGCATGGGCCAACCATGTATTCCAAGATTTATATATAAGTAAAAATAATGCCTTAGCAAGATATTAAATTTCTATCTTTTTGGAGAAAATTGTTTTAGCACATTTAAAATACCTTGCAACTACTGCAGAAAACAGATATTTGAATAAGTTAACTTAGGGCTAAGTGTGAAAGCTTAGTTTAGAATTTAAACTTAAGGTTTACCTTTTAATTGGAAAGAAGTTTTATCTAATGCAAATTCAAGTCTTACCTTCCAACGTGACCACTTGCAAGCAAGATGAACACACACACAGGCAACCAATGTGGGCTTATACATGAGGCACATTGTTGTCATGTGTAAGCTAAATTAAGAAAAGAAAAGTTCTATTTAAAGACTGAAGATTAAAAATAAAGGCAATTAACTAAATAATTTAAAAGTGTTTCAACATTGATAAGGATTCTTTATTTCTTTACACATTAGTTATTCTTTCACAATCCAGTCACTTTGATTGCTTCGGGGCAATATAGGTATATACTAAGTTTCAGTCTTTCTAGTGTATTACAGAAAAAGGTGGGCATTGTATTATTAAAAAAAGAAATGAAACATACAATTAATATTTTAAGAATTTCAATTTTTTTTCCTAGACACTAAATCCTCAATTGATTAAATTGTAAAAAGACTAAAAATCAGGTAGCATTGAATTGAATGATCTGTATTTAACCGCTTAACAGCGTCTTTCTTCTGGCAAATTGGGTTAAAAAATAAGCATATTTTTGAGAAACAAATTTCTGTTAAAATCGATTATATAAACTCAAATCAAGAGTCAACAATGGTTGATTTCATGAAACAATTTTAATTTTTATTTAGAGCAAAAAAAATTGCATTTCTACTGAAAGTTGGCTTTTCTACTAAGCTAGTGAAAACAAAATTCACGCCTTTTCCCGCATAAAAGAAAAGCGCCAAAACCTTTTGCAATCATACCTCTACTGGACTACCAGAGCCATCTGTTAGAAACATTGTAAATTGAAGAAAGAAAAAATTCAGGCAAATCATTGCAATAGAGTAAAAAAATCTGTCGCACGAGCGGCGCTCGGGCAAAACAGGGAAGGCCCCTTTTCAAGTACCCGAACGGTGTTCGGTCAAAACTGGGGAGTGGTTAAATTACCTAATAAATTAGCAAGTTTATCTCTACCGCCAAACTAAGCGCTACCTAAAATAAAATATTATAACTTAAATCAAAACTATATTGATATCAGTAGTGAAATGTTTTGAGATATATCAAAAGAAACAACAANAAATAAAATTTATGTTACTTCTAAAACTAACATTTATCTGTGAAAGTTGAGGCAATTGAGAAACAATGCTCTGGAGTACATTCCAGATCATAGGTACCCTTAAAATTAGTAAGCTAAAACAAAACTGTTAAGAAGAAGGCAGCACACTGAGGGAGCAAGAAACATGCAGGTTTCCATACTTTGGCATTAGCATACAAAATACAAGAATTTTCCTGCCACTTCATCAACGTGCAGCTCGTCGTAACTTGCTAGTCTGACCAAATGCAGTATGGAATAAAATGGCCTTATCTGAATAGTGGTCCAACCCCATTTTTTTTTTAACCCTTTGAAGAAAGCAATGCAACTATTAACCTATTAATAAAGCAGAAAACTAGCAACTCCTTTTCTAAAATCTATATATTCATAGCTGCTAACATGGATAGGAAAAAATCCAGATTTTATGAAACATAAATTTCATGATAATTGCTGCATTATGTACTAGATATTTTACACATGTGGAATTTTAGGGACTTTTACAGTCATCAAAATAGAAAAACTGTTTTATTTTCCAGTTATGATCGACATTAAACATACATGAAGTCAAAGATAGTTAAAAGATTTTTTTACTAATTTAAAGAAAGAGTTCTGAATAAAAATAAACTGAACATTTCGTAACAAAAAAATTTTTGAACCGATTTCTATAAATGAGGTTTGCTTCATTATGTACTACATTATGTATTATGTACGCTTCATTATGTATTATGTAGTTCATTAGTAATACTTATTTAAATAGTCAAACAAGCAAGCAATAATTTGTACATAAATTCTATTTCAATATGGGTTTTTTTAAGTCATCTTACTCAATTTTAGAGAATTTTCTAAAATGTACAGAAACCAGGAGAATTTTAATTAAACCAGTAGACCATGAGAAACTGGCAAAATTCAGTAGAGTTGGCAGCTATGTATACTTTTATTTTAAGTTCAGCTATATGTTTGAAATTATTTTTAAACTCTGCAACTGAACACAACCTACCCACGACAAATGGAAAAATACAATAGTAAAAGAATTCGCTGTTGCTTTCCTAAAACTAAGATCCTTCTTTTCAGATATGAGCTTCACATTCATAGAATCTAGTACAAAATATGCCAGATCTAAATTGTTGATCAAATTGGATTTTTTAAAATTATGTTTGAAAAATAAAAAGGCATTTGAACACTTTTTAAGTCAGAATAAAAGGGAGAAAAAAATTTAATTGCTTGTTGAATCTGACAGTTCCAATTAAATAGCATTTTAAAATTAAACTTTTTTAGAAAATAACTAAATTTTTTTGTAAATTGGTAGATAAAGAGATTATGGGTCCACTAGCACATTGTAGAACGTACTAAAAGAACACACAAAAGATTTAGTAAAGTTAAAGACTGGCATTTCAATACTACATCTGTACAAAAATAAAAAAACTTAACTTTTACAAATGATTTTACTTGCTACATGCCCACATATTGCTTTTAAGAAAGTTACCTTTTTAATGCTCAAAATTCAGTTTTAACAAATGCTATGATTTTTTGCTTCCAATTATAGTAGAAAACTATACAGTCGAACCTTGATCAATCGTCGATGAGTGTTTTTTCCTGCAGGGTCTTGTTTCATTTGTCTTATCACAAATGTCGTTCTTATAATATTGATAACCTGCTAATATCATTTTTTAAATCAGCAGATTACTGCGTCTATAGTTCAAAACTGCTATTGACATTAAAAATATATATATATTGAATTTCATTTGATAAAAAAAACAGTAACTTCTGATGCTAATGATGTGGAAAAAACAAGATTTTAATTTTTATGGGGAAAATAACTCAGACAGACTGTTTGATATATATGCATTAATTGATGGGAATATAGAAAAGTTTAGTATCACCAACTTAATTGAATGGCAGCAGAATCTGAAGAAATTCAAAGTGATACATATGAAGCTAGCGAAAAAAAATCTCAACCTGTGAAAATATTTGCGTAAAGCCTCAAAGAAAAGTATGCTTTCAAACCAAAATACCCAAATATTTTAAATAAATATATGTGCTTATTAATCTCTTTTACAAAGTAAATATTTATGCATCAAGTACATAAATTTTTCAATTAATATTTTTAATACTTATTGTAAATTTATTAATTTTTAAGTATTTGCTTCATATATATTTAAGTCATTATTAATTATTTCATGTTGACCTGCATACATCGTTTTCCCATATGAATAATTCACCATGAATAGTTCCTTGAGAAACAATCAATCGAGGTTCTACTATATATATATATATAGCTGTAATAAATATTGCTCAGTCTTACTTATCAGTTATAGACGTAAAAAATGTATAGACATTTTGTGACCTTATGTAAACTGAAAGAGTTTTTAACCAATTATAATTTGAAATTAACTAGATATACTACTTTCCTACTGACTAATCAAATGTATAATAATTTTTGATGTATTGAAAAACGAATACGTAAAAAGTGTTTTACAAAAAAAATATTTCAAACAGAAATTCCTTTTTTTTTTTTTGCACTAAAAAAGTAATTTGTGTAGAAACCATCATAAAACAGAGAAATTCTACACTTGTTTTTTGAACCTGTTTTTGTCAATACTAAATGATGCCACATAAAAATTTTCTTAATGGCTATGATTTTATTATTTTGGTAATTTAGATAAGAACAAAAATTTTCCAAATAAAATATGCTTAATGTGACTAATAAGTACTAGAGCTAATTTTTAATTTCTTTAAATATTAATATTTATTGCCCAAAACAGGAAATTTTTTTGCAAGATTTTGACATTTGTTTAATGCAATTTTTCTAACAAATAAAATAAAGTGCAAGGAAACAAAAATTAAAGAATCCTATGAGAGGTGAAAATTATGCTTCCAAATTCATAACATAAGGTAAAAAAATAATTATTTCAGGAGTCTTATCTAATCCAATCCCTCACATTAATCAGATACAAGAGTGCCATTCCTCGAAAACCGAAAGACTGATTTAAAAAAAAAAAAAAATTATGAACGTGCAGCTGAAATATTTACTATACATAGGAGCCATAATATTTATTAGGAATTTTATCTTTTATGTTGTGGATAGATAAAAGGAAACATTCTTTAAAAATCCCAAGACTGAATATTTTATTTTCATGAACTTGTTATAAGCAAGATACGACTAGAATATTTTTTAGGAGTCCATTTATGTTGTGGATACAAACTGCGAAATCTTTAAAACAATATCACAAATAAAAAATAATAAGCAACCATTCGATTAGCTATTATAAAATATTATGATGTCTACATAAATTTCATGATTGACAAATATTTTAAGTTCCCTCCTCCTTCTTGACGATGATGGGACAACAGTGTCTCGTAAATTTTTTTCTAAAGCTCTTATTTTAAGCAAAAACATATTTAGGTATTTCTTAATTATAAAAAAGTTTAATCGTTACTAAAAAAAATCTTTAGGTTATCAGAATTATATTTGCACCAAAGAAAAAAATCAAAAACGAAAAATTTTTTATAAAAACTTATCAATAATTAATTTGGTAAATTTAAGAAATTTCAATGATAAATAACTGTTTTGCATAATTCTAAATAACTTGCAAATTTGAAAAATTAATTGTTGAAAGTGAGCGGTGTTTGAAAGATTTTAACCGTAACACAGAGAAAGATACCAGTATTTCAAGCTGTATTTCATAACCAAAGTATAAGACAGCTAAATATAATTTTTCACTAATTTTGACTTGGATTAATACAAAATAATGAGATAAAAAATTTGAATCTAAGATTTAATAAAATTACTCAAAATTGCAAGGAATTTTATAAATTCAGGTACAATAAATACCTCTATCACTTTAGTATATTTTCTAAACAATTCCCCAATTCAACAAGTCGAATTTCCAGAATTTTAAAATTGCTAAGCCTCAATTTAAACTCAATTGCGAAGAGGTTGGCAAAGCATAGTATAACATAACTGTTTAATATTTCTATGAGAATCAAGATTTTAGAATAAAAGTTAATTTTATAAATTAGAGCTGGAAAGTAACCATTACCTCTGGATATT